AATGAGGGCGGTGGTGCTTAATGAAGCGGCCGAGCGATCGCGGGGGACGATCTAATGAAAACGGTCGTTGACGCGGGCGACGAGCAAAAGCGTGGAATTCCGACTCTGACTTTCGTGATTATAAACGAATCGGGGGGGTTCGTTGAAAAAAAGGAATAAAAGAATAATTAATTTCGTGCCTGGTACGTTTTAGTTATTAGACGAAAAAAAGTATTAGAGACCTACAAGATCTCTTTAGAGACCTTACAGATTTTATTAAATGTTCCTTTTCAATTTTTTTCGCATTTTTTTTGGATCATTTAATGAAACAAGTTTTTTAGAACCGTTTGACACGATCGATATTTTTGGTTTCGATATTAATGGCGAACTCCGCGAGCTCTTCCGTCTCGACGTTTTTCTTACAGCTTACGGTGATGATTTCTAAAAATAACGCGCTAGGTTCAATTGCGCCAATTTCCAGCGGCTCGTTGACGCGTGTGGCGGGCGTGGGCGATAAGGTTGCGGAGTACACCATCGCGCCAGGCTGATACCACGCGGCGTAAACATCCGCGACGAGGAGAGCACGAGCGGTTTCCCCAACGCCATTCCGCTCCCGCTGGAAGCGCTCTACGCTGCACTCTGATTGGCCTCCGCCTCCGCTTTTAGATCCCGCCGCTTCCTGCGTTCCTCTCCGGCGCGTATATATATATATGTTCATAAACTGACCTTGCCGGAGGAAGTGTAATTATTATTACTGATTGCACCGGCGCGCGGCGGCGCATCGCGATGGCGCGACCTGCCCCCCCGCGCCCAGGTCCTCCACGTTCTCCACCGACGGGAGATCGCAGATCTATGCGCGCCCGTGCCGTTATTTTCGTTCTTTCTTTTTTTCTTTTAATCCTTCCTTCTCTCCTGTCCCTCTTGCCTCCACGTCGCGTTATCTCGCCGGCGATTACGCGTGTGTCGCCCGCGAATGACGTTTTTCCGGCGAGGTTCACACGTCTCTCCTCTCGCTCCGCCTGTGGCTATTGTTGACTCTACGTTATCGATATAACTGGGCTTTAAGTATGATTATACACATGAGGAGGACAAACGGGAAAATTAAGTTAATATCGGCGCGCGCGCGCGCGCGCGCGCGCGCGCGCGCGTGTGTGTGTGTGTGTGTGTGTGTGTGCGATTCAAGTTTGTGCGATAATGATTGCAATTAATCTTCGAATAACATTTTTTCTTTCTTCTTCAAATACGCTCCACATTAGAGATCTGTGACTGCTATAATAATCCCATAAAAAAAGTACGATAAATCTTATATTAATATTTCGTTTAATTTTCTGAGAGATCGCGCAAACATTCCGCATTCAATATGTAAGAAGGTTTTCCTTTGTCTCGTCATTCCTGTTATCGCTTTGAACATCCTTTTGTCGTGTATTTCATCGTGAAAAAGTCATTGTTTCAGGAAACATTAGACATGGTCATTAAATTTGGATGGTCGAAGGGCCCGTTCAGGCTTTCGCAGCAATCGAAAATCGGATTGCCCGATCGCCCAGTGGCCGGATACGCACGTGCGTGTCCAGGACACTCGTGGGCTCCTCGTCCGTCCGCGTATCCTGCGGTCATTCTGACGATGTTCGTCCTAATGGATCCTGTCCCAGAGGGTCGCGTGGCACGACACGAATGCTTCACGACATTGCGTGCGACTATTTACGAGTGACTGTTGCGCCCTGCTCTCGTACATCTCTTGGTACACGAATCGTTGCTCCGCAATACTTGTTTAATACTTTTCACTGACACTCACCTTTCGAATTTGCATATCGTGAAGTCAAAACATCCAATTGTATCCTTGTCTAAGAAGAAAAGATGATGACACTGATAATTTTTAATTAAATCTTAAATAATAATTAAAGTGTTATCGCAAATGTGGATTTCCACATTGAAAGAAGATATTTGAAAAGAATTTTGATTTATATCTAGGCATATCGATTAAAAATTAGAAATGATTCACTATCATGAAAATCAAATCGTTAAAGTGCGAGAAGGTAGACGTGAACAAATATCGTTAAATATTCATTCACGGATCGAGGGAAGTTTAATTGAAGAGCTTGAAAATGATATCAATAAAGGTTTGAGCCGAACGCGATATTTAAGTATTATTTCGATAATTGAAGCGGAATACTTAAATAGAAAGGTACATATTTTCACATATTTATATCCTAAGATAAGCTTCATGCGCAAACCTTCTCTTTGTCTATCACATTCGTATGTCCATCGTAAACTTTTGTTTTTATTACACATGGAGTAATTTATGCGTCAGTGGATAATGAAACGTAAAAAGTAGGCCGAATTTTTCGTTAAAAACGTATGCGCTTCTCCTCCTTTCCCTCCAAGAGAATCCAAGGACTATCGATGCCCGAACAACTTAAGCGCAAACGGATTAACGGCAGGCTCGGCCCACGACGGCGGCGATACGTGACAGGATGTGAGCGACACTTCCTTTTAAACCCTATAATACACCGTCGATCTGTTACAGTTCCATACACCTGCTTGCCTCCTGCTTAATATGCGCGCCATAATTAGAACATACGCGACCACCGTCGTGTTAAATAATAAACCGGTCGCGTTAAAGTCGCCGTGACTTCAACATGTGAGCGCGGAACAAAGCTTTCCGATCTGTTCGCGCTGTATTGATAATATCCATGATATAATTCATAATGCTAAAGACAACAGCTAGGCTCTGTCTGACAAATAGAATAGGAGAATATGTCAAGACTCGTCTTTTCTTGACTCCACAAAACCTCAAAATTGTGAATGCGTATTTTTTACAGAGAAATTAGATGAATGTAGATGAATGTAAGTTTGTGACACCGGAACCGACCGAAAGGTTTATATATCACTGTGATATATAAGTCTCTCGGTCTGATGTCACAAATTTGTCTACATACATTATTTGTCTACATTCTATCTAATTTAGTCGTTCATAATTCGAATTTATTCTCCCAAACTCATTCTTTTCTTCTTTGTTTCTCCTTCTCCGGACAATGTAAAATTTGGCTTGGCACGGCAACTTCAGTTTATCTAGTTGGAATAATTATCGATTTAAATACGACGAAAAACGCTGATATCGATCACCCGAGTCTACATAGAAACGTCGGTCAAATTTATATCTTTGACAGTAATCGCCTTAATTATCGCTGGCCGAGAAACATAAATTTGCGTTACGGTAAAAACTGTCCGGCGCCCTTTTCAGTTGCCCCTCGCCGACGTCATCGTCACTTTAATCTTTCATAAAAATCTGCAAACTGCAAGCAACGTTACAGCGTATAATATGATAAATCTGATAAAGACTCGGTTTGTTACGGCTGACTTTAATGACTTTTAATCCGGGCAGTCGATGCGCGAGCGATGTAACGCACCGCGTGATGAGGCGAGCGCAATTTATGTGATTCGAGTAACGCCGATTGTCGACCGGATGAAGCACCGGAAACACATCTTTGCTTTTATCAAGACACGATATTAATTCCGTTGTTGTTCTTTTCAACCGGTCATAATCTTCAATCGGAATCTGCAATCGCCTATGCAAATTGCCGATGAATATCCTTCATACGGCGTCTTGTGTAAACCAACTGTCCGTTTCGTCGTATAATACTTTCGGTTTCTCCTTCTCTTAAGACATTTCTAAATTATGTTCCTATTTTATTGAATAAATAAAAAATATCAATCAAATCGTACTATCGTACTTAAATTTCTGTCTCATATTTTTGTCTTATTTCAACTTTCGGGAATTTTTTCTTCTTCAAAATAAGCTGTATAATAAACATGTCTTATAATAATTATATGACAAAATAAACTAAATATCATTCTTTTACTTATAATTAAATCATAATTCGAAGACTAAACTGACTTCTAATTGTAATTTCGAGAAAATGGCGCCTATCCTCGTATATATAATAAAAATGGAATTGTATATAAATTTTCGATTGATGACAAGAAACTGCCGTGAAATGAGTTTATATTGTGGAATAAAGAAATCACATAAAGTTGCTTATGATTGCGAGAAGAACCCTCGTTTTCGCATTCGTGTACCAAGAAATGACGACGGGGTAGATGGCTGTCCGCTTAGCCTTCTAATTCTTTTCATGATTTGCAACGTGATAAAAAAGAAACACAAGGAACAAGGACGTCTTAAGATCCGCGAATGAGTTCCGTCGTGAGATCGCTTGATTGAAATTTAATTGCACTGTTGAAATTATCCTCTTTCTCCCTATATATGTTTTCGACGACGTTTCTCCGTTGGTTTTTATATCCGGCGTTATATATTATAGAGTTAATGCGGCTTTTTTCCGTATGGAAGCGACCATTTTTTCGCACTTTTTTTTGCCTTGAAATTGTTGGAGAACATTAGAAATCAACTTGATTAGTGAGTTCGGCGAAGTCTCAATAGTAGTAGTCATTAGAAATGCAAGGAATAAATTACATATAGATTATGTACATAAATTATGATAAGAAAGATCTAACTTGTTATTGCAATGTGATCTAAAGAATTTGGAAGAACGAGGATCGAGGATGGTAACTTGAAATAATAACTTTGTTTCATAAAATTAATTAACTTCATAAAAATTAATTAATTAAATTTATTAATAATATGATAATAATATTATATAACTAAATAAATACATTAAATAAACCAATACAGCCTACTTAAATAAATAAATTATATTTATTTACCCAACAAAAGGTAACATATCTATAGGATTTAATTATTAATTATTACTATAAAATTGATTATAAAGCAAAGAAAACCAGATTCAATTATATGTTGCTCATGTTGCTTGATTCAAAGAATAAGAAAGAATAGGGGATGATAAAATGTCGAAAAAATAAAGAAGAAAGAGAGAGAGAGAGAGAGATTGAGATTGACGTACGGTATAAAGATCATAACGAGCACTTCAATGAATGAGTGACTTTCATTACACCGACTTTCTGATTTGCAAGCTCATATCTCCATAATCTACTTTACTCTGTTACAGTGGTGATGCACAAGGATAAAGAGGAGAATTCACACCACGACTCGCATTACAGGGCGAGAGAGTTGGCAGCGCTCGCTGCTTACGACCATCATCACCTCGACGGCGAAATGTTCCTACAGGTGAGTACTCGTCGGGACGCTCATTACGTAGAACAGCCCGTATTTACGATCTCATTTGGACGCACCAAATTTTAAAAATGCATATCAGCCGGTCTTGCGCGCGGCACCGTATCGTATTTATCGTGCCCCGATGAGAGACAGCTGCTTCCTTTTCGCTCTCGATCGCTCGTCTCAATTCGCCAGCCGTGGCAGAGAGAAATCTATCGCCGCGAAAACGAGATCCCGCCGATGATCTACATTTCGAGAAAAATAAACGACGGCGACGAGTCGCGTGAAATGTTCAGCTGATTTGCGACGCGATGTGTCCTTCGTAACGGAAGTGCGCATCACAAGTTACGGTCCGATGGCTTTGTCAGCAATACAAATGTTTTATACACGTATATTTATACACGCGTATGTTTTTATTCTGCTTTTTTACGATTAGCGATGGCAATCGCGTCGGATATTGGTTTGTATAAAATAAAAACCTTATGCATGCAAAAGAACAATTTTACTATTATATTTATGTTATAACACAATTTTATCAAGAAAAATTACACAAATCACAAATTATTAATTTAATAAATATTGTACAGTATTAATATCGATTAAATGAACTCAATATGCAAATCAAATTTATTAGAATCAAATGATACTTTACATCCAATAATATTTTGTTATTATTTTTTTATTATTATTATATTCACTCACATATCTTTATGCGAGAGCTCTAGTTACCATTTTCCTTTCCAATTTATATTAAATCTTGACCTGTCTATTCCTACAACGTATTCACCGACGATATTTATCTTTTAGACAGCACTTACGCAAAGGGCCGTTATGTCAATCCGCGTAAATGAAGAAAAAAGATCGCCGTTCGAGTTATTGATTCTAATCGTTAAGGACCAATCAACCGCGATATGATAAGTCAGCGATTACGAACGATCGACTCCATTTCGAGCGGCGATATTATCTGCGCGATACATTCACCTGCCATAAGCACCGTCTACGATTCACGATTGATCGACCGTTGGTGGTGTGAGTGCACGAACAGATGGAGAGATGAATGAGCAGGCAAGAAAAGAGAAACGGGCGTGCTACCGAATGACGACCCGTGATTGGAACTGTCTGTCAGGAAAACGATACGACTCGACGTCACATTTGAAGGGAATTATAGCTGGGAGGGAGGGTAGAAAGTTTCGAAGTGTATTATTTCGATGAAAAATATAAGTGTGTATGGTGTATGGTGAACTAAGCGAAAATAGGTAAAAGTTTTCTCAGGATTCATCAATTCCGAATATAAAAGTGTATTTTTCCAAACGAAGCAACTCGTAGATTCGATACGAATAAAATTTGTGAAACTTGTTTTTTCTTAAAAATAAGCAATGATAATTGATGATTAAATATGATAAATCTGCTATTTGACGTCAAGAAAATAAGGTTGAGTTGTATTAATATAAGAAATAAAAAATAGAAGACATACTAATTATATTATCATATTTTTTATTTCTTCCTTAACTGTATTTTTATAAAGCCATTAAACTTCTATTATATTATATTTAACGTCATCTTTGAAATAATTTTAATAAAGAGATATCGCAATATCATAATTATCTTGCCAAATGTGACGATAAAATAGACGATATTTATAATTGTAATGTGGGAAGATTCATTAACGCAAATCTGAATTTATTTTTTATTCTGCATTCTTTTTAAATCGATAAAACGAATTGACTCGTATGATATAGAAGTCTCAAGTCACGTCGTAGCGGAGCGCGCGTCGAAATTAAATCATCGGTAGTGAGAGGAAGAGACAGGAAGGAGCGAGAACGGGAGGAGAATAGGGAAGAGAGGAAGAGGGAGAGAAAGAGCAGGGAGATATCCGGCTGATGAACCGGCTATGAAACCGAGGCGTACGAGGTGTCTATTCCTCCAAAGTATGGAAGGGTATATACACGGATTAATGGCTGTGCATCATGCAAGGCTATTACGTTCCCTTTCTTGCGTTTTAGGTGCGCACACGAGGGAAAGGGAGCGAGTGCCTGCGAATACGAGAGAGAAAAAGAGAAAGGGAACAAACAGCGTGAGAGGAAAGGAGAAAAAGGAGGAGGAGGAAGGGAGAAGAGAGGACCCGGGATAGAGCGATAGATGGGAGGGACGGGTGCGGAACATTATACTTACACGTACTTACGAACTCTCTACGCGCGCGAGTCGACGTGCATCGCTACGATCGAACGACTCTACCAGCATCTACAACGGCAGGTTATTAATTGTCGGCTCGTTAATTGCGTTACGTACGCCCTTGTACGCGCGAAGCTAATCCCCGAATGGGCCTTTGATGACAGCGATTCGGGCCGCACTCGAATCCGCGAAACGATGAGCGACGTAGATTTACGTCGATTAATGTCATCTTTTATGAGGAACTCGAATGAAAGAATTTATATAATTTTATTATGCTTTGCTCCTTGCATGTCGCATACGTTATGTTTTGCGACGTATAATAATCTATTATAGAAAACCATCTGCAGTTCGCTTTGTAGAATTTTATATTACGGAATTACACGATGTGTGCTAAATTACATTGAAAAAAAAAATAAAATTCTAAAATTCAAATAATTATTTTATAAATTATAAATTATGAAGGTTAATATAATTGTAGATTACAATAATTGTAGATTACGAATTTTCTAAGATGTTGTTATAAAATTATGGGAAACTTTGCATATATATGCACATTTATATCGTATTTTTTACTTTTAAAATCATATAGGTCGGCGTATTTTCAAATCTAGACGTTCAAAAGACTGCAACTCAATGCAGCTTTGAATGTATTACATGGTATAAATCAAGAACGCATATCTTCCAGACGCGGTATCGATTTATGAAAATGGCGATGCAATCAGGTCGCGCCTGATTTTCTTGACCGGACCCGGGCTCGGCTCAAGCCCGGCTCGTGTTCCTTGAACCTGGGTACCAGGTTTCCGGGTAATCCACCTCACGCCATCCTCGGCTCGTATATCAATAACATATTTATACAATTCGCGCGGTTCCATGAACCCGACTTCCCTTCTGCCCACCTACGCTCTTCTCCCCGTGGCCACCCTTTCGGTTCCCCTCCCTGTTTCTCGAACAAACAGCGCCGTCTCTTCTTTCCACGCGCCATATACCGTTTCGCCGATCCTCATAAACTTTACGAACCCCGACGGTAAATCCGGTTTATGACAAGCCGGCCGCCACTACGAGGTATCCTCGAAATTACGGCTGGGCGCGATCGGATTTTTATACCCCTTCCCAATTATACCGTGAGTCGCGATACCGGATGGTATATACGCGGGCGAGAGAGCGATTGAGGGAACGACTCGTTTAGACGCGGCACGACGTCTTGTCTCTCGCGGAGGGAATTCGCATCTATCGAATTACACGGCATCAAATCAGCGCCCGCCGGACCGCCGCCGTGCATAGATCACATCGCATTCACACGCTGCATTTTCTACCCCTCGCCCCTCCCTCCTCTTCGTCTTCGTAGACACCAACGAGGTTTGTCTCGTGCAGAGAGAAAGATTTCTTAGCAGAAACCTGCTCAGCCATTTATGAAAATTAATTCTTTAGGTAATCCTTGACAATTGTTGACAATTTTCGGGAGAAGGGAGCAAGAAAAATAAAAATGTTATTATTATCCTTATTTTTTAAATAGACATCGTGAAGATTATATTTGAGACATTGTTTTGGTTTATTGTCAAATTATTTGATTGTAAGATTATCCAACATTTATTTGAGTTTAGTTAACGTTTTTTACTCGGTATTAAATTAAAATGTATGTAAAATAGTAGATTGGTTTCTTATTAAATACACTCGTGATGTTCAAGGTAGACTCGATGAAAAATATCCGCAGTCAAGGGAAGTTAATTTGCTCATTTTAATGTGTTTTCGCCGAGAACGTGTACGGTGGATATGCCTATTAAATATTTTCACGCTTGGACGGCCGTTTCTTGCTGCTGCTTAAAGACAGCATCCAGGGACATCTAATTTGTTAATTTGAATTTATCGCTGTCATAACACGCAAATCGCATTATGGTGTCAAAAAGGCAAATGCGTGCGAAGACTGAAACATAATGCGATCTTTTCCGAGAAAGAAGAAGAAGAAGGCGGTCGGATCGCTATACTATAATTAAAAATTAATTGTTAATCCCAATATGAACTTCTTTTTCTTTTTATCACATTTTTTTTTAATGACGGTCATGTTTGAAAATATTCTTCTAATATTGTATTATAAATTATCATTAATGAATCCAAGTGAATACTTTCTCAAAATTTGATTTTCCTAGCAATTGATATTCAAAGACAACGTATTAAGAATTTTATTTAACAATAGTAAATTAAATTTGTCGCGTAATAGTTTGATACACAGAAGCTTTGATCGAGAATCAAGTCTTTAGCGCGACAGCAAGTACGGTGAAGCAAACGCAAAACAAGTTTCTCGTGCTAAACGGCGAATATTTAAGAAACAAACTGAAATCAAATACACAGACTTTTCCCTTTTGCCGCGTTAAAGTATCGTTTTTCGTGAGTAGCGTGCAAGGAGGTACCTTCCTACTTAATACTTACTATTTCTCTAAACGGTATGCGGATACATTACTTCTACGAAAGTTTCCTCGCGTAAAACGTTTACTGCCCTTTTTCGTCACTTCTGCCGCGGCGCGCGAAGACACGGGGAGAAAGGAAGAAAGAAGAAGAGAGGGAGAAAGAGAGAAGCCGTTTCTCCTGAATCTCCGACGTAAAAGGTTCAAGCGAGCCGAAAGCGTTCTTCGATCAACTCGACACGAAACCGTCGCGCCGGTAATTCGCCACACTAAACACCGCCATTTTCACGAATCCGTGCACGTTTCGGAAGGAAAATAAAGACCGAGGAAATAATGACGAATATTATGTGTTAGAATCCTCTCTAAAAATAGAAATTTTCCAATTCTTATAATTATAGAAATAACAGATATTTATTATTTGTTGAAAAAAAAAACATTATA